CACTTACTTTTTTTTTAAAGGGGAGGGGAGTGATTCTGACAGAGCACCAGACGCAGCAGCCAACACCAGACAGCCTGTTTCCTTTCTGTATATTCTAAATTAAATGTGTGGGAGGCAGTGGGGGGGAATGCATCAGCCTAGAAATCCATAAACAAGCAGCTCTCACCTATGGCAGCTGCATGCCAGGCAGAGTATTACACCAACGAAGGCAGGATAAGACTCTTCCTTTCAGTCAGAGCACACGTTTGTGCTTCCCAACCACCCACCCCCAATTCACAGACATGATTTGTGTTTGCCATCCCTCAAAGCCCTGGGTGCTGAGAGCCAGCTGCCTCTGCTTGCAGCCAATCACTCAGAACACTGGAACAAAGCCAAAGTGCTTACAGATGCGCCTTCCTTGAACCTGCCAAAAGCTACCCAGATTCCTGGTCGCCTCCTCTCTCCTCAGCCCTGGGGTTTGCTTCTGTGCCAGGGAAACCAAAACTATTCACTGTGACACATACATATTACCATCCTGCCTTGCTCCAGCCAGAGGGCAAGACAACAGGGACATTTCTCTGCCTTTTATTTAGCAATTAAAGTATGTAAAAGAGAAGCTATTTCTAATCAAAATTACTCCAAAGAATTTTTGAATCTTATTTGCATATATAGTAGAACTTCAGAGTGGAGGCTGTTCATAACTCTGAAATGTTCCTAACTCTGAACAAAGCATTATGGTTGTTCTTTCAAATAGTTTACAACTGAACACTGACTTAATGCAGCTTTCAAACTTTACTATGCAAAAGAAAAATGCTGGGGACGATCTTTTTTGGTCTTTTATGTTTAACACTGTACTGAACTGCTGGGTTATTTTGGTCTCTCCTGGCTGCACACTTTCTGTTCCAAATGAGGTGTGTTGTTGACTGGTCATTTTATATTTCTGAGGTTTGATAGCAGGGGTGGGGAACCTAAAGCCTGTTTGGGGAGAGGGGGCAGATGTGGGCCCTGGCTTGCATGGATCAGGCCCCTCAGGCTTGGGGCTCCCCTCTACATTGGGAAGCCCATATTGTCACTCCAGCCCCCACACTGCCTTCCCATGGGGATGAAGCACATAAAATCTACTAGTTTACATACACACACGTGCTCTTGTGTGGGAGGGGAATGTGGGGAGAGTCTTTCTCCTCAGTCGGTGAGACATTGTTTAGCTTTTTTTTTTTTTTGCTTCTCACTTGTGTGCAGCCACCAACTGATTTTTCTGTGGGGACAATCCCAGATATTTTCTTTATTTATCCTGATCTACAGACCTTCCCCCATCTATAGTGACTTCACTAGTCATCCAGTCACGTTATTCCTTGCAAAGCCTACTGCATTCCTATCATCCACCTTTTCCACTGAGCAAAGGAACTACACTGTCCCTGATCATTCCTTTTATCAGTGCTTGAAGAGTTAAACACATACGATTCTTGGTCATACTGGCGGACACCCAGGGGATTTTTCACTTTCCTCTGCAGTATGGAGAATGGGTTACTTTCAGGTTTAAACTCATGTAAATGGTGCATTCTCTGTCTCTTAACATCATTATTTAGGGACTTCAGTCAACGTGCAGGAGGTCATACTAGATTAGTGGTAGGCAACTTGCAGCCCATCAGGTTTCTATGCCCATGAGACATTTTGTCTACTGTTACCTACACATAGGATTGTTAGATTCCACTGGTTTTTGTCCATGTTGGGTTTTTTCCCTACTAGTATTACTAAAGTGACAACATGTAAAACAAGGGCATGTCAAGTGAGGTGCATGTTGATTGTACACAACACTGACTGAGAGAGTCGTGTGCTCCCTCTGCATCCAATCAAAGCGCTGCTACAATTCAATCAGCACAACCCTGAAAATTCTAGACGCACAAATGCAGTTAGCAAAACTTCCCCTATCGCAACAGTCTTGTGGTCCTGTGAGATGAAGGAGGAACATTCATGCAGCCCACTGATGAGCCTATATTACCCCTTTTTGGATTGGATGAATGTGATGGTCTCTTCTGATCTTAAATTCTATGAATCTATGACCATGCTACCCTGGATATGCTTTACTGTAAACAGTATTTCACACAGAATCATCTGCCTTGCTAAGTCCCTTTTGCATTTGGTGGCATAAGAATTGCTCATGTAAAAATGCCAGGCAGACATAACAGCAGGTTGCTTTTGTATTCCCTCTGGTAGTCTGTTACAGGGAAACAGGAAATGAATATAAAAAGAATATACTGAGTTACTGAGTACCGTGAAACTGACATTGTTAATGGGCAAACTGTTCAGGATTTTGACAAGCTTCACTAGTACATTCATAATTGTAAAAATGAAAATGAGCTGTTTGGTATTCAGGTCCCATTTACAAAGGGAGGTTCAAGTAAACTGCTCTGATTCTGTTCTTGTCCAACTTTGTTTTGGTGCGTTACACTATGGAGAAGTTACCACTGAGAAATCAGAGCAAGTCAAAACAATGCATCCAGCAGAGAGATGGATTATTAGTCATCAGGACTGACACTACCTCTATGCACAAGTGCCTGAGGCTTGCATTCAATCCACACCACAAGTAGGTACATTCAGCAATGCTAACAGATGCAAGGGACAATTTCAGAATTGTGTTCTGCTAAATTCCTCCTTATTTGGCTCAGTTTCATCAGTCAGAACCCCTCCTGCTGGGAAAGGAGGGCATATTTTGCATTTCTGACCAAAATCTGAACCTATTTTGGATCAGGGGCTACTGATCCACAGAAAAATCAGTCGAGGGCTGCACACAAAAAATCCTCACTGATGTGGTGCCCAACTAAGAAGAAGAAACACACTCCCCACATTCTCCTCACACACCAGAGCCTACTGGGGTCTAGCCTAGTAAATTTTGTGTGCTCCAGCACAGTGGGGGGTAGTGGAGGGGCTCCAGTGCCAGCACAGGCTCTCCAATGCAGGGGGGCCCTGAGCCTTGGGAGTCAGATCCAGGCAAGCCAGGGGCCTGGATCTAGAGTAATCAGGGTTTTATGTCTGATGCCATTCCATCATAAAACTCATGCACTTCGTGTGGAATGAACCTAATGAGTCTTTTCCTAGCTCTATGATGATTTTGGAGAAGCAGAAATGTGTTTCTGATCCAGCTATAACTGAGGGTTCAATGATTCAGGATTGCACTTAGCTATACCGAGCAGCAACAGTCAAACACACTTTTGCATACGTCTACTGTTCTACAGTTTTCATTTCACTTCTAGGCTACTTTTTTCATAACCACTCAGAGTCAAATGCAGAAGAGAAACTGTAACTTGGAGAATGTGGTGTTTTGCAGTGAAACAGAGAGCGAGAGTGCTGGCCTTTGTAACTGGTTAGCTTCTGTGGTTAGTGCATCTACATAACTGTTAGCCACACTGTATTTGCCTGAGCCACACATAAAACACCCTGCACATTCTCCCTGGGTTTATCAGTGAGTGTCATGGGGAGGAAATGGGGGGGGAAAGAATGAAATGAGTGGAAGATGCAAATGGAAAAGAGAAATTAAAAACAGCAGGAGAAGGGGAGCAACAAAAGAAGAAGTGGAGGTGAACAGTGGGAGACAGACCCTTCTTCCTCTAACTCCTCCTTTTGAATTTTGGAGTGAAAACCAAAACCAAACATGCTGCATTCACTTCCCATTTAGAAAAACCCACATAGCAGATCCAGTCAATTTACAGCTTCATAGAAGTGTTATTTTTAACATTACTCAGCGAACAGTAAAGAAGTTAAGAAAAAGGGGAAAAGTTGTAAATCAGTCATGACACATTTGACCACCGCAACTGAGCTCAGAGTCTGACCTAGGGAACAGAATGAGAGAGAGCGCATGGTACTGGTTATTTTAGTGTTCTCTAGCTCAAGCTGTCAGACCATTCCTCTGGCTTCAGCACCCCTGGAGAACAAAAAAAGTAAACACCCGCAGGCCCAATGCCTTTCCACTAAGTACTGGCATCCACTAGGGATATAAGAGTATAATCGTTTAGACAGGTAACCCATAAGCTTAGTTACCCAAACGGTTACATGTGGCTCCCAGTTTGGCTCCTGGAGAGCTGGTTGCCACTCTGTGCTGCTGCCTCTGTACCAAAGGTAGCAGTGCAGCGCAGCAGCTAGCTCCCCAAGAACAAGGTGGCTAGAGATGTTAACTATCAGTTAATTGACTAATCAAGTAGTTGATGGAATTTCCATCGACTATTTGATTAGGCGATAAGAAGGGGAGCTCTCCCACAGCGACTCTGTACTTTAAATGTAGTAAGAGCCCAGTGGGCTCACTGCGGCTCTGCCTTCCCTTGTTCTTCCCCCCACAGCATGGAGACAGCGCTGGGGAGAGCCAGTTTTTAAGCCGGCTCCCCCCAGCACCAGCTTCCCCCCACTTGCTGCCTCTGATACAGAGGCAGCGGAGGTGAGGGGGAAGAAACTAGTTGAGTGTTCACTTGATTACTTGACTAGCTGCTTACAACTCTAGCGGCAGCAGGTGAGAGTTGGCTCCTGGTGCGCACAGGTTGTTGGGGAGCCGACTGCTGCCTTTGTATTAGAAGTAGCAGCACGGGGAAGAAGCTAACTCCCCATAAGTGGGGTGGCAGGCAGAAGCCAGCATGTGCCAGGAGACAACTTTTAAGCCAGCTCATGGCACACACCAGCTCCTGGGTTAGCCAGCTGCTGCCCCATGCTGTGGGCACATGTAACTGTGTAATCACTGAAATTTTCAGCAGTTACATGGTTAGCCAATTACCTGCATTTTAACCTCCCTAGCATCCACTGGGAACAGGAAGGAAAACTCCGAACACACAAGGCCTCTCTTCCAAAAGGTTGGTACATCAGGATCACTATGGGGATTGGATTATATTGGGAAAATCGGAAGACCTGTTGCATCCTCAAATACAATAACTCTCATTGAAACACCTGGAGCTCATACTAACAGCACTTAGGAATGAGGAATTCAGATGCACTCAGACAACCTCCGGAGAAGACTGCGGATAGAACATCCGCCTCCTTACCTTTCATTTCCGGGCTGGAATTCAGACAGCAAGGAAGGCCTCCTACGCTGTGGCTGTATAATAGATCCAGGTGGTAGGTGGGAAGTGTAATCCCTGGGATGATGCTGATACTCTAAGAGACCCACATCCTGCAACAAACAACAGAGAAAGAAAATTGTTGTGCTGATACAAAGTACGTGGAGGACCATGATAAATCACTTGCGTTTACATCTCAGCAAATTCTGGGTTACATTCATCTAAGCACACCAGGTGCCAGATTGAATTCTCTGGGGAGCTAGGAGCTCTGTTTATCCACCATGCAAAGGGAGTAAAGCAAGGTTCCCTGGACTGCCTTACCAAAGAACCTCAAACACACAGTGGGTTGAGATGGTCTCTGTAGCTTATTCAGTCAGACCTGAGCCCCTCTGCTTCAACCGAGGGCAACACAATTGTGATGATGACTGCTTGTAGTACACACGTTCACGCCATTGATGAACTCAGACCACAAATTCATTTCACTTTGAGCAAAAGTGACCTGGCCTAGAAGCTGACGGTAACTGTGCTGAGGCAGATCTTTGCTCTGGACTTATCCTTATAGCCTTATTCACTCAGCCCACATTCCCATTAATCACTTCACCTTGGTGTATGCTGTAAAGGACTTGGAAATAAAGATGTGAATGGTTAACCGATTACTCAGTAAACATCACCCGTAATGAGTGATGCTTCCCGGGTAATGGTTAATTGGTATCCAGGAGCTACCACACCAGACTCCTATACAGGGCCAGCAGAGCAGCTTCCCACCACTACCCAATTTAACCGGTTAAACACTATGGCTACGTCTACACTGGCATGATTTTCCGGAAATACTTTTAACGGAAAAGTAGTGCAGCCCATTTACGAGGCATTTTATATCTTTCTGTTGCTAATCATCTGTGAAAGGATACAAGCTCACCACTGTTGGGCTAGCACTGGAAGGCTTTGCACAGGAAGAGACCTTCCGCAAAAAATTCTTATGCAAAGGCATGTCCACACCTCAAAAGCATATAACAAAAGCCATGTGCTTTTATGCAAGAGAGCATCCACACTGCATGGATGCTCTTGCTCAAGAAAGCTCTGATGGCCATTCACAGAATGGCCATCAGAGCACCTGTGCTTTTTCTGATACACTCAAGAAACCCCTGCGCAAGAAACCCCTGCAGAGCATCCACACCTGCCTTTTTGTGCAAGAGCTGTAGCGCAAAAAGGAGTTATTCCTCTTGGGGAGAGGAATAACTCTACTGCAAAAAGCCCTCTGTTCTGCTGGTTTACTGCAAATTTTCTTACGCAGAAACGCACTTGAGGTGTGGACTCTCTCTAGTTTTTGTGCAGAAACCTTACAGTATAGACACAGGCAAAGTGTTAAACAGCCATCCTCCCACAGTACAGCACTACAGTCAAAATTCTCAAGTGCAGGACTTGGGAGTTAGCAAGGGGGCTTTATAAAACGTGGTGAAAATGTTTGTAATGTAAGATTACTTTTCCGACATTTCAGAACAGCTCTGCAGAGTTATCAATCTTCAACACAACAGCAGTCATCCAACCTGAACACGGATCCACAGAGTTTAAGGAGCAATTAAATCCTCTGTTCTATGTATCACACAGGCCATTACCTTTCACACAGTTCCCCCTGCTTTGAACCCAATAACTTGCATTTGGCTAACGCATACCTTCCAAAAAGGCACACTAGTATTATTTGTAATATTTGTAGCAATAAGACGTCTCAGTCACAGACCTGCTGCACTTGGCACTGTACAAACACTGAACAAAAAGGCAGTCCCTTCACCAAAGAGTTTCATGTCATGGGAAACTAAAACTAACAATCTCATTTCATGGTCCAGCCTGAGGTCTTGTCTATGCTAGAAAGTTGTACTGCTTTAATTATACCACTGTAGTTAAAGCTGCACAACTCCTTGTAGTGTGGATGTAGGTACAGGCTGAACGTCTTTAGTCCGACACCCTCAGGACCTGACTGCTACTGAACCAGAGAATTTACCAAATCAGTGGAGGTCAATATTGTCTAGCAGCATTACCAACACTTCCACTGCTTACTGGGCTCTCAGAAGATATTTAGGGGTAAATCAGAGATAAACAACAGCACAGAACACTGAGAGTCAGGACTGCTGGCTGTAAACACACTTTATGGAACTGCAGGAAACTTGGCCACACCCATGATAAGTGGACATCCCGCTATCTAAAATCTTGCCGGATCACAGATGTTGCCAGACTAGAGAGGTTCACCCTGTAGATCAGTGTGAAACATCAGGCAGATGGATGAAGGTCTCCATCCTGAAACACACTGAGTATTGTGTCCCCAATCCAGTCAAACATGTTAAGCACGTGCTTAACTTAAAGCATTTAAGTGGGTGAGCTGATGTCAAATCCAAAGTCTATACAAGATTAAAACAAAATTAAATTTCTAAAACACTTTCAACTTTAGTAACCTAAGGTGTTGGTAACAATAAAGAGAAAAATATATCAGTATCTTGACCATTACCCTTTAAACGTGGCTCCAGAAAACTGAGCAAAAACAAGTAGAAAAGAAAGTATGTTACTTATTATGTACCCAGCCCTTTTTTGTTCCTTGGTCTCTTAGAGTAGAGTACGGCATGTCCCTGATTTAATTGACTAAGGAGCCCTCCTGCTCTGTGCCACAAAGGCTCATATTCAAACAGTGAAATATTTCAGTCCCCTACTAATCTGCAGATAGATGCCTGACTGGGGGAGAGGGAGGGAAAAGATTAATAATCTAATTACCTACGACACTGATTAATGCTTCGTAATGTCTCACCACTTTCATGATAACCATGGTAATACTTGATCAGTTATGCAAGAAGAAAGAGAAATATTAGGGCGCAAGAGCATATTTTAAGTATTTTTCACTTGGAAAAAAATGGGAGACATTTCTACCCTGGTTTGATTCCCAAGCAGGAGGATAGCAAGGGGGGGCAGTTGCCCTCTGGGTGCCATGCTAGGGCAAGTGCAAGGAGAAAGGCGCAGGCGAGTCTGAGATCGACGTCACCGCAACCACGTCCCATACATGCCATTCTCCCTACATTTGCCCTAGCATGGTGTCCGGTTAGCAACTGCTGCCCCCTGCTCCCTCCCTTGCTACGCCCCTGTTCCCAAGACACTCTTGCTACACACTGCAGGCAGGGCTAAGGCTTCCCAGGGGGAGGAAGAGTTTTCTGTGGTTACAGTGCTAGCCTAGGACTCAGGAGTCCTATCTTCCCCTCCCAGCTCTACAGGCTCGCTGTGACACATTGGGCAGATATTTCTCTCTGTGTCTGTGGCCCCATCTTTAGAAAGACAGAAACAACATGGCTGTGCTTCACAGCAGCTAAATAAGAGAACTGGCAAGAAAGCAAGTTTTTTTCTCCCCACAGAAAATTATTTCCTTTTATTTTTTCTTCAAAAATTGCAAAAAAAAAAAAAGAAAAAGAAACAAAACAAACAAACAAAAAAAAAGGCACTGCACTAGGGGAGTCCCCAGCCATGACAGGGAGCCTAGCCCACAAGGGAGAACTGGAACATGAAGAAAGCCATAAAGCACTGCAGCATCACATGCAAACGACACTATTTGGGGTTTCTGCTAAAATATTTCCAGGGTTGGTTGTTGGGTTTTCATTGTTTTTTAACCAAAAAAAGCAAAAACTGTCCATAGAAAACAGACAGGAAAGCCCAATTTTCTGCCAAAAGTCAATTTCAAAAAAGACAAAAATTTTCAGACAGCCCTTCTAAAGATTGTGATGCATTCAGGCAATAGCTACACTTAAAGAGTTACAGCTGCACAGCAACAGCTGTACCACTCTAGCGCTTCAGTATAAATGCTCACTATGGCACCCGAAGGCTTCTTCTATTGCTGGGATTAACCTATGTCTCTGAGAGGCAGCAGCCAAATTGATGGAAGAATTCTTTTTGGACCTAGCACTGTCTACATTGCAAGAGGCATGGAGGAGGTTATAGCAGCTTAACTATGTCACTCAGGGGAGCATTTTTACTCCCTTGAGCAACACAGGTGCATCAACCCAACTTTTTAGTGTAGACCTGGCCCCAGATATTGTGGTGATGGGGGCAAATAAGTCCTGCAGATGTTCAAAATGGATGCAATTAGGCACCCTTTGAAAATAAAGAGGAGTTAGACAATGACCTCATATTGAAGCCTCGCCCCTCAATTGTAAGAAAGAACAAAGAAATCAGCAATGAAAGGCGTTGCTTCAATTCCATCTGGGGCTACAGATTAGAAGAAAATGTCAGGAAATATAAAAGCCCAGCATTTTGGGATGTCAAGAGGTAAAACAACATGTTTGTATAGTAACTTCATTGAAAACCAGAAAAAAAGAATTCTAGGCATTCCCTCCAGAGAAGCCAAGAAAAACAATTATTCCCAAGTTCAGCATCTCCTTCACAAAAGCTTAAACAAGCCAAATATCAAAGGAGGAAAAATGGCAGTGTCGACTGGCTATCATTTCTTGTTATTCCTGGAATAGTACCTGAGGATATTAGCCTATGGCGCCAGGGTTCATGGTTTCCTGCTGCTGAGCGATAATGTGGTGTTACCCTTTGTTTTCTTTTTCTATTCTAGATTATTTTAGTCAAGCCTAGTACTTTTTAGGTGGCATGGAGGAGCTTGCATAGTGTTTATCCAGTTCTCTGGGTCTCCTGCTCCAACTACTCCCCTAATATTCCAGACCTCAGCCTCTCCTGAGCTGAGGCATGGCTTGAGAGTTTCATGTTAAGAGACTGTGTGGGTCCAACTTTACTGTGGCGTTCCCAATACCAGTAAAGACCCTGGTCTCCAGAGATAAAATCTCCTGAGCTGCTTAATCTCTAGCAGTACTAGCCAATACTATGTAGCTGGCCAACCTATACATTGTCACCATGGTGTCCAACATACTAGCCACTAGCCACATGTGGCTATTTGGCTGGTTGAGTATGGCTAACTGGCTTGAACAATGTGGCTATTTGGCTGGTTGAGGGTAGCTAGATCGCTATAGCTATTGTCACTGTAGTGCAGGGGTGGGCAAAAGGGCCTCTGCGGGCCGCATCCGGCCAGCCAAGTGGGTAGATCCTGCCCGCGGAGGCCCTGCTGCTCCCCCGCCCCCAGGCCAAT